TTTTGTTTTTCTTCCTATTTCAAAAGATTGGCATAGAGCAAGATGCGGTGGTGCACGCCTATAATCCCAGAAGCTCAGGAGGCTGAGACAGGAGGACTGCATGTTCAAAGCCAGCCTCAGCAATTTAGCAAGCCCCTAAGCAACTCGGTGAGAACCCGTCTCTTAAATAAAATTTAAAAAAAGGCAAGGGATGTGGCTCAGTGGTCAAGCACCCCTCAGTTCAATACCTCGTACCAAAAAAAAAAAAAAAAAGATTGGTTATAGAGGTGGTTTAGATATAATATTTAATAAATATAATTATGATAAAAGGAACTTAAATCTATTAAATATTAATTAAAATGTTTACCACAGAAAACTATCTTATGAAGCAATCAAAAGTTTATAGATTCAGTGACTATATTAGTGACCTATGTGTATTTTAAAGAAATTGAGCATATATGCCATAAACTTCCAAATAGAAAGATTCTAAACATCCATAAATTTCAAATGAGAGGATTTTTTTTGTTCAACTTTTCTTATTGTAGTTATACACAGAATGCCTATGATTTCAAATGTTTTTTTTTCATTTAACAGGTATGTAAACAGATATCACTTGTTTATTTTATTTCTACTCTTAAAATTATACCATTGCCAGAAAACCTACTGATATACTTAAAATGTTTAAATAAAAATTTGAACAACTCATAATTCTAGCAGTAAATAAATTGTTTCCTATCATCTAGGCAAAGAAGGAAGGAAGGGAGGGAGAGTTGAGTTCTGGAATTGCATATGCCATAAACAACTTATTAGGAAGAATTAATAAAGTAGTAGATCGACATACAAAAACTTATGGGATGTGATCCTGTTGCAAGTTTGGGGGTCACTTGTTGAAATGAAGTGATAGTGTTACAGTGAATGTAAAAATAATATTTTTATGCTTCCATATTTTGTTTAACATGGTTGCTCTCTTGTTCTTGCTCAAATAGCATAATGTTAGATTTAAAATTCATTTATTAAGTTCATATTAAAAGAAAAGATACTTTAATTGTTCTTAAATTACTTTAAAAGGAAAACCTTTTTTTTTTTCTTTCTGTGAGCATATGTAGCTCTCTGACACTTCTCAGAGCATCAATAAAGACAAAACAAAAGCCCAGCTAAGTCTGTGACTATTTTATAGGTTTACCCTTTTGACTTCTGAACTGTTTTTGTTCCAATTCTATCCCAGCCTGGAGCAAGTAATAAACATGGTAAATTAACAGCATACACTCTGGTGCCAGACTGCTTGGTTTCAGGACCTGATTTTACAGGTTCTGTGTTCTTTGTGGTCTCAGATATGACTTATGTGTGCTTCCCTGTGCCTTCGTGGTCTCAACCCCTTATGTGATTTTGGGTCAGTTATAAAATGGCTCTGTGTCTCATTTCATTATAGTAAAATAAGTATAACAGTATCTATTCAACAGGGTTTTTTTTTTTGGGGGGGGGGGCGGCGGTATTAATACCAGGGTTTGAACTCAGGGGCACTTTACCACTGAGCCACATCCCCAGCCCTATTTTGTATTTTATTTAGAGATAAGACATTTCAGTTACTATTTAGCAATTATTTAAAAGATTCCCCCCAACACACAATGTTAGTGGTTAGAAGCATGGGCTTAAAAATTAGATTATGTGTTTGAAAAAACTGAGTTGCGTAGCACCTCGCGGTTGCTAAGGCTAGCTTTGAACTCTTGATTCTCCTGTCTTAGCTCCGTGAGCAGCTGGGATTATAGGCATGTGCCACTGAGCCTGGCTCAACAGGGTTTTAAGTTATTAAATTAATGTATATATTTGGAATGGTGCTTGGTACACTATGATTACATGGGAGATATCCTAATCCAATTCTTCCTCTTCAGTTTTGAATTTGACAATGTCAAATTCAATGATTTTCCATGATAATTTCCCAGTATAGCTGTGTTCTCTCCCATTTCACATATGACTTATGTGTACTTCCCTGTGCCTTTGTGGTCTTAACCTCTTGCTTCCAGATTCTCTCTAGCTTCACTAGTTATTTCTTTTTGGCCTTTATCACTTCAAACATCATTTCCTTGGGAAAGTCTTCCCAAGGAAGACCTTCCCTGGTCCTCCCAAGCTAGAATAATTGTCCCTTTCTTTAATATAGGACCATCTAATATAATTTGGGGGAATTAGGCCTCTCTGAGAAACTGTTATTTAGACACAAAGTAGGAGTTATATTGGCCATGGAGGTGAAGAAAGGGTTCTAGGTAGGAGGAACCATTCACATAGTGGTCCATGACAAAATGAGCTTGGTGAATGAGAACAGGGAAGATGCTACTGTGATTGCAAGAGAAGGAGTAGGAAGTAGGAGGTTGAGGCTAATCAGAGAGGCAGAGCCAGATCACGCAAGACCTAGTGTATCAAGGGAAGAATTTTCTTCATTAACAAAAGGAAAACTCACTAAGGAGTTTTAAGTGGGGGATAACATGATCAGTTTTGCATTTTTGACAGATGATAATGATTGCACTGCAAAAGATTTGAGAATGAGAAGACCTAGTAATTGGTTGTAGACAAAGGTCCAGATAGAAGGACATGCAAAAGATGCTGTTTAGGAATCTAGCATGTCATTGTGTAAATCATGTGCCATTTACCGAGAAAGAACAATTAGAAAAAGTTTAATCTAACTAAGTGCATGTGTATAATAAGCTCCACAGTGACAATTATTACTATTGTTATGCTGGTTGTGATTACTAATTATTAAAAATCTTTTGCTGCAATTCAGGGTAATGGTAAATTGTATGGATTTCAAAAGATTTGGGCCTGACCTATTGTTCTCACAGGGTATACAAGCACTTCTGGATTTGATGTTTGAAAAAAAAAGTCATCCTAAGGGGAAAATGTAGGATAGACTTGGTATAACATGTAAAGGGAACATGAGAAAACAGGTTCTTCTTTCTTGAAGTTCCTTCTCCTTTATCCCCCCAAACAAGAAATTTTTGATATAATAATATGACCATAGCCAACAGGTCTATGAAGTATCAGTGTTATATGGGAAGAACAAACCTAGAAAATTAGCCTTAATTTGACTGCTGGGCTGAATAATGGACGAACACAGACAGATCAAATACGTTTCTACAAACTGGGTATGGGCACAGTAAACAAATAATTCAGGAGATGTATCTAAATCTTTGATATTACAAAGGTACTGTATGTCTTATTTTTTTCATTTAGATTTATTCATATATTTTTGCCTCATGTGACAAGGTCATATTCATTTATATTGTTTACATGTTGCAAAATAAGATGCCTATTAAAATGATTAGTTATTAGATTGATCATGCAGTCCCTTTTAATTATGGTGCAGTACTTCCTGTACAAGCATATAAGGAGTTTGCAAAGCTGTCACTGCTTTTTTACCTAGAGATGCAAGGAAAGCAGAGACCACGAATTAGGATTATGTGGATACATGGCGCTGAAGAGAATTCCTGTTGTCATATCCTGCTCATTCTGTTAAAGAAGCCCTGGAGCATATGAAGTGGATGGCCAATGTATTGAATATACTGAAATGTGGGTCCACTTCAGAAATCTTGAACCTTGAGTCAAGAAATCTGATAGTACTTAATCTACATGCCTACAGGGCATTTGGCAACAAGACATCTACACAAAAACTAAAGAAAGAAGCAAGAAGGGAGAGTGAAATCTAAGAAAAGTTCACACTTTTTGGTGACATGAAGTTCTGTCTAATATTTAAAGCTGTAGTGATTCTTGCTTAAATTCACACATATCCAATTGGCATCATGTAAGCACAATCACCACTGGAGAACATTATATAAAGACATATACATTAGTACACTATGAGGAATTATAGAGAAAAGGAAATGATGAGTATTTTAACTGACATTATGACCATGTTTGGCATGTATTTTATTCATACTAGAATACTTATGACGTTCTTGAAGTACTTTGATAATTTTATTTATGCTTTTATTTTATTAAATTAAGAAAAACATCTAATAATATTTACCTTCAATATTTCTTACTTAAATAAGCACATATAAATAGCTTAAAAATGAAAATGATTTCATTACTGCTTTGGGTAATTTCTGTCTGGCCTGGTATAATTCATCACAATATAAAGAACCTTTTTCAATGTGATAAAATGAGCCAGCACTGAATCATTTGAGCATTTGCACATATCCCTCATTAGTTATATTAGCTTCAGAACTTTGCTTTTTGATATTTGTCAAAGATAAGACATTTCAGTTACTATTTAGCAATTATTTAAAAGATTCCCCCCAACACACAATGTTAGTGGTTAGAAGCATGGACTTGAAAATTAGATTATGTGTTTGAAAAAAAAGTCTCTACCATATTTTAGCTATGTTACCATTTAATCTCTCTATTTGAGGTTTCTGCATAAACCTCAGAAGCTGATCTGTAGAAGAGGATAAAGAAGAACCCATCTCAAAAAATTGTTGTAATTATTAATGTTTTATTATGTGTGAAGAACTTAGAACTATGCCTGGTACATAGTGTCTAAAAAATGCTAGCTATTATAAGTGTCACCATAATCATCATCACCACCATCATCCTTCCAAAATAGAATTATTCATTTTCTTCTTGAAGAATAGGTAAAATAAAGAGTCTATAAAATATTTAATCTTTCCTTTATATTCCCAGCCCTAGCTTTATCAGAAGCATTAATCTTTCTTATTTCCACTCAGTAGATTTTTTTTTAAGTCCAGTGGGTCTCAAGCTTTTGCATTGACTCTTACATAAAGTAGCAAAACATTCTATGACCTTTAACATGATATAATCTACAATTTTTGAATCCTTGGATTAAAAACAAACATGAACAGGGATATTTAAGGATACCTTGCAATAATTACATAGCCCCTCTAGGGTCTGAGACTCACTTGGTTATGAAACATTGCTTTAATCAATAATTATCACACTTAGATTTAAATGTAACTCAGATTGTTAAAAACAAAAAACAACCCAGTGGGTCATAGTTCTTTTATCCTCCTTACCTCGCCCATGACTGCTATGGGTGTCTCTCCTGTTGCCTGAGCAACACGATGCTCTACTAAGTAGAACATGTACTCATCGTAGAGTAGACGGATCAGGTGGAAGGAGCCAAAGCTAGCAGCACTGCGCAAGGTTAAATCCCGAATAACCATTGAGCTGTGCCAAGAGAAAAGACATATATGCAGCCAATGTTAGTGATGAGGGTTAGAGTTCAACTTATTTTTTCCTCTTAACAGAAGTTAAGTTGGGAGCCTATGTAGTTGGTACAGCAAGAAACTTGCCAGGAAATAAATTCATTATTGAAAGCATTTGGCTCAACTTATTTAAAATAGAATGGCAAACAGGTAACTCTCCCAAAGGTCTGATCCTTATTAGAGTAGACAGATTTTCAGTGGGGAAAACCATTTTACCATTATAGGTCTGTCTACCTGTTCCATTAAACTCAAGAATGGATCAGAATTGAATAAAAACTTTTTTGAAAAGCTGTTAACTCATCATCAACATAAGAAAAAGCAACTCAAAGTAAAAAACCTATTGATTATGTAGTAATCAATCTAAATGATAATGATCTTCAGGATATAATTTTAGAAAAATACGTATTTGTGCCAGACAAAGGGTACAAAAACACTAAGCAAAGTTCCCAGGTGTAACCATACAAAATGTAGCTAAGTATGTATAGGGATTCCAGCAAGTGTTGTTAAGAAGGCAAAATCATTTAATGATTCCAGTTTCTTACTGATTTTCATTTAAGGTGTTTTTCTAGTAGAATTGGGAGTTACAAAATACTTAACTTTGAAAAATGTGAACATTTAATTTATATTAATACCCAAGTATGAACAGTATTAATAAAATACTACTAATAAGCTATTCAAAATAGAAATGAGCCCAAAACAAAATGCTGGCCTCCTGAATGATGTACTAATCATTATGATTGTTCATGTACTTTAAACTTCTTTAATATTTGTAACTTAGACCCAGAATGATGTATATATATTTATGCAGGTATAGTTTTCATCACTTTAATTCAGTGGTCTTTAAGATTTTTGACCTATAAATACTAAAAGAGCCACCTTAGCCTCAGTAGGAAGAGACAGAATCTCACAAATGTAAGCCTGATATTTCAGGCCTTGTTTTCCAATGAAGAATTATAAAATGCAGTAAAAGTGAAAATCATAAGACTATAGTTCAGTTTTCTGCTTCATTTTTAACCTCTTTAAAACAGAGGCTATTAATACCTCAAATTCTATAGATTTAATTTGACAAATGACAGATCATTATTGTACATCTAAAACTCAGAAGCCCTGGATTCTGATTCTTGTTTTTCATTGACTGCTGACCTCCAGTAAATAATTTCCCTGACACTGTCTTTTCCTCTTGGGAGAAAAATGAAAGAAATGCTTTTAGTCTTGTCTAACTCATATGGTTATTTCAAGATAAAATGACCTAAAGAATGTGGAATCAACTTATGAATGAATAGAACATGACTCAAATGTTTAAGTGATTGTAGTTATAATATATAGAATAGGAGGAGCTGAGCTTATTCTCATTTGTTTATGGCAGTAAGAATGGGGATTGCTATATGCCGATGACAGGGGACCTCTCATTTCTGTGGATCTATGTACAAAATAAAATAGAAACCACTCATTTAGAGTTAGATTCAGGTTGCTACTATGTGATCTTGGTTGTGATTATGTAAACTTTTTTTAAGGCTCAAAAGTTAAATAGTTATCTTTTATCTGTAGTTTTGATCTCCTTAGCTTCATTACATGTGATCAACTATAGTCTGAAAATATTAAATGAAAATTCCAGAAATTGTGGAAGCTTCTGAGTTGTGTGATGAAATCTCCTGACATCCTGTGCTCCTTGTTGCCCAGGATGTGACTCATCCTGTTCAGTGTATCCACACTGTGTATGCATCTGCCTGTTAGTTACTTAGTACCTGTCTTGGTTATCAGATCTATGACAGTATTACAAAACTTGCATGCAAGTAACACTTATCTTTCTTAAAAATAGTCCCAATGAGCTGGTCATTTAGATATATGAAAGAACAACGGTAAAGTGATTTATTTAAGTGAAAAGATGAAGGTTTTTGACTTAAGGAAGCAAAAATTGTATACTGAGACTGCTAAGATCTATAGTAAGAAAAAATCATCTGTGAAATTGAAAAGAAAGAAGAAATTTGTGCTAGATTTGTTGTCATGTCTCAAACTGCAAAGGTTAGAGACAAAACCTGGTAAGTAGACAAGGCATTACATTTTATGGCTCAGTACTATATGTGCTTTCAAGCAGCCAGTGGGGATATTGGAATGCATCCCTCATGAATAAGGTAGGAATACTGTACATGGTTACTACATTGTTACATAGATTAGAGTTAATAATATATTCATTATCATAAATAGTAGTTCCAATACATGATTCCTTACAGTCAAATACTTAAACAGATTCCTTAAGTTTAGAACTCTACTTTAAGGGTAGATAACTTTAAAAAGAATATCTTCATTTATGTACCAAAGAAATAATTCTATTCTTGTCTTTCCTAAAATTCAGTAATATATCACAAATATGTAAAAATAATTTACATGAACATAATGACTATTTAAAATGAAAGATCTTTCCCTTTGGAAAAAAAATTAAAGCAAAGAATCCTCTACATAAAAAACACAGGAAAAAATAACACAAGAGTAACAATGAAATGTTACATTACATTTTGTCCCTTAACACCAACTTAAAGACAATAATTTTGAAAATGATGCAAGACCAAAACACTCACACTCAACTGCATCCATCTTGCTGAAGAAAAGTAAATATTTAAAATACAGCCCAGAGAAGACAAATCGCTAACAAACATACAAAAATAAGACTAATTTTATTTGAAATTATAGAAAATGAAAATTAAAGCAAGACACCACCCATTACCTATCATACTGAAGGAGATTACAAGACCCAGTGTTACAGAGAGTTTGAGAAAAGAACTCTACTATCTCCACAAGTATAAATCCACAAATCTTTTGTAGAGAGGAATTTGTCAAAATTTAAGATGTTAAATCCTTTCATTTAGTGAAATTAGTATCTAATTCTAGATATTTATGCAAATGAGTAAGGTTAGTTTTAGTTAAAGCAATAATTGTATTAGTGAGAAAAATTAAATATCCACTAGTAGGATGCTGATTAAACAAATTATGGCTCATTAGATCCAGAATTATATACAATAGTTAAAAAAATAAGGAAGACATAGTTGCTAACATGGGAACATCTATTATATGATATTAGGTTAAAGAATCAACATGTAAAAGCTGACTTACACAAAACACCTTTATATCATTTACAAAATCCTAACCCTAAGTAAATGAGAATATCTAATTATCTTAATACTTTATTAATAGTAAAATTACACACTTCATTGAATAGCATTAGTTATTTTAAAACATTTATCTTAAGATATATGTATAACTGTATACAAAGATAATCAGTAATTTTTAAAAATTCTATCAAAACACTAAAAACCATCAAAATGTTCAAGAAGAAGAAAATAAGGGAATGTTTAAATCATGTATGACACATATATTATGTGGCCATTAAAAATTACAGTGGCCCCTCCTTGCCTATAGTTTTACTTTTCTATGGTTACCCATAGTCAACCTCAATCTTAAAAATGCGAAAAGGCATTATTTAGGAAATAAATTAATCATAAGTTTAAATTGTGTGACATTCTGAGTAATACAATGAAATCTCATGCTGTCCTACCCAAGATGTGAGTGTTTAATGTATCCACACCACATATGTAACCCACCTGTTACTCACTCATAGCTGTATCATTCATTAGATCAAACTGTTGCAGCATCACAATGTTTGTGCTCAAGTAACCCTTATAATAAAGTAGCCTAACACCATGGTATGTCACAATAGTCCTGTTATTCCTCATTTTATCTCCTCATATAGGCATTGTATCATCTCACTTCATCATAAGAAGGGTAAATATAATAAGATTATGAGGGAGAGAATCCACACCCACTATACTCGCAAAACTTTCCTTACAGAATAGTGATTCTATTTTTATTAGTGTCATTAAACTCTAATTGTGTCTAATTGCAAGTCAAACTTTATCTTATGTAAGTATAAATGTGTAGGAAAAAGCAAAGTGTGTGTGTATATATGTGTGTGTGTGTAGGGTTTGGTTTTGCCCTTGGTTTTAGCCATATGCTAAAGGTCTTGGAAAATATCTCCTATAGAAGTATAGTATGTTTCTGGAGGTAATGACAAGAAATTCTCAATGCATAATGTTAAATGACAGATATTCAAGGAAAAATACAGGTAATAATCTTTGGTAAGCAACTGGATCTCAATTTTATTTAATAGCAAAGAAAATATTTTACCAGTGTTTTTTATTAGGGGGTGGGCATAGTAAAATTATGGGTAATTTAATTTAATCTTTGTATATATAGTTTTTTAAAATTTTCCAGATTATCTAATATGAAACATATTAATTTCATAATAAAAATATTTGTTTTACAGCTTACTACAGGGGCACAGCAACATCAATGTTTATAGCAGCACAATTCACAATAGCTAAATTGTAGAACCAACCCAGATGCCCTTTAGTCGATGAATGGATAGGGAAAATGTGGTATATATACACAATGGAATATTACGCAGCATTAAAAGAGAACAAAATCATGGCATTTGCACGTAAATGGATGGAAATGGAGAATATTATGCTAAGTGAAATAAGCCAAAAAAGGACTATCCCCCCAAAACCAAATGCTGAATGTTTTCTCTAATATGAGGATGCTGACTCATAGTGGGGATGCGGGGTCAGCATGGGGGGATGGAGGACCTTTAGATAGGGCAAAAGGGAGGAAGGGGAGGGGAGGGAGCTTGAGAGTAGGAAATATGGTGGAATGAGATGGACATCATTACTCTAAATACATGTATGAGACACGAATGATGTAACTCTACTATGTGTACAACATGAAAAATCATGTTGTATATGTATAATATGAATTGAAATGCATTCTGCTGTCATATATAACAACTTAAAATAAATAACCTTAAAAATGTTTGTTTTAAAATATAACTTTCATTATATTATACAAAAATAATTATGACTCAATTGAAGTCCAGAAATTTGGGAGGGATAAATGTCACAAACATAAAATGAATTCTTTGTTTAAATATTTCTAAATTCAAATTTTAGGCCTTTATATTACTCTTAAAATATAATAATCCTGAAATCAGGTAAATGATTTAAGAAGAATGTTAACAATAATTCTCCAATATCATTACAGACTTGTAAAGTCAATTAATTTTTTCCAAGAGAATTTACATTTATTCATGCACTAAATATTATGTTCCCACTCTATGAATGAGTCTTATTTTAAAACAAATGAGAAAAATAATTTTAGTTTCAACAATTTACTTTATAGTAGGAGTAAAATTCAATAAAAATACAAGTAGATAAAAATTTTTTCTGAGGAGATGAGTATCTGAGTGGAAATTGGTCTGAAGTGTCGGAACGAACCACAGGAACACATAGGTGAAGAGTTTCCTTGGCAGAAAGTTTCCCTGACCTCGAGGTAGAACTATGTTTGTTGTGTTTAAAGAAAGGCCAGAAGGCACATATGATTGGAGAACAGCAAGCAAAGAAAATAACACATAATTGGGTCTGGAGGTTACCAGTAGCTGGACCGTGTGGATCTTGTGACAAGGCCTTTGGATTTTGTTCTAAGTATTTTGGAAATTTTTGATCTGTTAAACCGTCACTTTATTTCAACAAAAAATGTACATCTAATACTCAATTCTGTTGGAAAAATTTTAAAACTTTGCTGATTTTCAATTATAATACCCAGGTTTTTTTTAGTATTTATTTTTAAATTGTATATAATACCTTTATTTTGTTTATTTTTATGTGGTACAGAGGATTGAGCCTAGGGCCTCACATGTGCTAGGCGAGCACTCTACCGCTGAGCCACAACCCCAGCCCCCCAGTATTTAAAAAAAAAATCACTAAAGGGCATGTCATGAAATTATTGTTATATGTCTAAAAAAGAATCAGTTGGATTGCATCATCAGTGCTAGGTGTACTTCATTCTCGCTGTGTTGGGCTTCTGCCCTAGTGCCAAATATTAAATGACAAGAATTAATAGTTTAATTGGAAAGGTATTATCCAATTCAGGTGTGTTGCAAAATTAACTCCATTAAGTGTCATGTTGCTAAGTTACCATGAATTCAACTTTAAAAAAACAGAGTTGTAAACATTAATTATTTTATAATAATTGAGAAATACCTTTGTGTATTTATCCTTATAAGTCAATGGTATAGAAATTGAAACATATACCCTACTATATGATACAATCCCCTTTCTGCATATTTGAGGATGCATCACATCCTTTCTAAGGAAAAAGGTGAGACTATCATAACCCTGACTCAATGTGAACTCTGAATTATAAAGTAAAATCAAAAAAGTATTTTTGGAAGATTTTTATATTGTCCATTTGTAAAGCAAACTAGGTTCCCTGTGTCCTTTTCCAAGACACAGCATGAAAGGTGCACTTCTTTTTTTTCTGCAGTGCTAGGTTTGGACTCAGGGCCTTGCACATGCCAGGCCAATGCTATAGTATTTTTGTTCTTTTAAAAAATGGAATATTTGGATGACCTTCAAAGTAACCCTGAGGAATGCTTTCTTCTATCACCCAAAAGACACACAAGCTGAGTAATGGCCCATATAACGTCTCCATTTCTGCCGAAGAAAGGCAGTGGCTCTTTTCCTATCTTCCAGAAAGTCAACATTAGCCTTTCAAAGCCAGGTAAGGCAAGGAGAGATTGCATTTGGAGCAGAGTGTATTTGCAGCAATAGATCAACTGCTGCTAGCATGATTCACTGCCAGTTCATTTCTATATTTTTGTGCATGTAAATATATATACAGAATTTTAGAAATTAGGAGGTTAAGTATCTGATTTCAGAACATAAAGGGTCTATGAATGTGACTGCCAAATTTACAATGGCATTTACAAATGTACAAATTCTTGGCATTTACAATGCCAAAAACATTTTTATAAATACTCTCATCCTGCTTCCCTGATAGTTTGTGAATGCAGTTTTCATTACTCAATATGTTCTTATGCCTCAGTAAACCACAGTTCAGTTATTAAAGAGTCTTAAGTTTTTAAGCTATTGACTTTGCCTACCAGCAGGAGGTATGCATCTGTCTGAATGTGCCTTTCCTCTGTGGCCCTGAACTATATGCCTTCAAGTCCTTTTGAAATGAAAATAATAACCATAATAGTGTCTAATAATAACAAGCCAATTATACCCAACTCAGGGAGGACACAAGGCTAGCAAGTAATGATCTATGGGGTTTGCATATCTACAGAGAACAAGAAATATTTTTTTCCTCCTTTCAAGATACCTGCAACAGATCTCTGTGGAAACCAAGGCTCCAGGGGTGTGTTTCTAAAATAATATCAGCTAAATATAGGGGGAGAAACCCATAGGAACGAGTAACAGCAAGCCTGACAGCAACAGCATAGAAAGCTAGGAGGAGGAGGAAGAGAATTGGGGGAGGAGGAGGAGGAAGAGAATTGGGGGAGGAGGAGGAGGAAGAAGAAGGATGGAAAAACAAAAACAAAAAAAAACTACCTCCTTGCTTTTTCTAATGCAGAGGATGGTCTCTGCTTTGATCATTTACATTTTGGAAGAGCCAATCAGTGTTGCTGTTGTTGCATCAATCATTCATGGAACATATATACCATTTATACTATTTTCTGGGGAAAAGACCTGAATAAAATATTGACCCTTGAGCAAATGGGGAAAATACCTGAAATATTCTCAAGAAGTGTTCCCAAATATGAATATTGAATTCTACCATGACCACTACTATTGCTGCATTTACTTTGAGCACACAATGACGATGCTTACCAAGACTCCCCTGTATACTGAGGAAAAACTAACATTTCTTGTTAACCTAGAAGTGCCTTCACTAAAGCACACCAGTGGGTCACGGATTCTGGCAACATCTTGACATTATACTCTCAAACTATGTGAGCTAAAGAGATGAAGCAGAACTATGGAATTATATACATTATATATTCCATTGCAGAAACAAAAAACCAAACAATAGCAAAACACTTTCAGACTTTCCTTCACTGCATTTTACCCTAGGCTACACACTAGAAGATATTTTTTAGGAATTAAGGATAAGCAAACTAGATATCCAGTGAATCTGTACCTTTACTTCAGTTTAAGAAGTAAGAATAAAGTTAGTTGAGAAAGAAAAGTCACTTAATGTAAAAAAGCAAGTAACAAAAATTAAAAGACCTCTGGGTTCCATTTTCATAAAGGTGGGTAAAACAAGGTACAAGTTCTAAAAAAGAGTCTGGATTTACTGGTTCACAACTGGTGTTAGTTACTAAATTGTTATTACTTATTTGTATGCTTTCCTTCCTTATCTCTAGCTTTGGACTCACCAATGATGCTCAGACAATGACCACAGTATACCCACAGTCATAAACATGGGTATGTCCTATGGTTACTATTTTCTGATATGTTCATAGTTGCACAAGATCTAAACTAGAGATAAACCATATCTCTAAGTAGGTATAGCTTTCAGGCTTAAGTCAGTGGGGGCTGTCTTTATTTAAAGAAGTAAAAATATGAACTCTTACCACAAGAACAAATGCCAGGATTAATAATATAAGTTATCTAACTTGTAAAATATAACTTCATCTGTCAATTCCATCCCACATATATATGGAATAAATGTTAACCAATACAGGTCAAAGATGATGTTTTTAACTCTTTGGTAGAGCTTTTGTCAGCTGCTCATCTCAATTTGATTTGCTATCACACATCCTATAATCAGTAAATCCTTTCTCTTTTGGGGGTACTTCTATTTGTACAGAAACATTAATTTCTATCTACATTATTTTAGTCAAAAAGTGATTCATCCTATCAGTAAGCTATGTTACTATCTACCAGATTACTGGCTGTGCATCAGAACAACCAAGATAGCATTCTGGAGGGAAAAAAGAAAAAGGCCCAATCCTGACTATCCCCACTCCTAATCACTACTTCCTGACCACCAAGACTTTGATTTAGTAGGTCTCAGGAGGCACCTATATTTTTTTAAAATTTTATTTTATTGGTTCTTCTTAGTTATACATGACAGTACAATCCATTCTGATAAAATTATACAAGCCTAGGATATATCTTACTCTAAGGGAATTCCTTCTTAGTTATACATGACAGTACAATCCATTCTGATAAAATTATACAAGCCTAGGATATATCTTACTCTACTTAAAACCCCATTTTTGTGGGGTGGGCATGCTGGTGGGGTTCATTTAAGTAATTTCATATGTATACATAGAACATTTACCAGATTAATTCTACTGTCTTTCCTATTCCTATCCTCTCTCCCTTCTTTGGTTCCCCTCTGTTTTTTTTTTTTAATATTAATTCTGATTTCTGATATGTAGCCAGGTTTGAAAACAGTTGTAATTGATTGATTAATTGATTGGTCTGGAGCATGCATCAGAATTATCTGGAAGGTTTCAAAACATGGTTTGTTAGGCCTTACCTCCAAAGATTCTGATTTAGCTAGGCTTGGAGAAGAGACTAAAGATTTGCATTTTTAACATGTTTCCAAGTGATACTGATGCTACTGGCATAGGGATCACAGTTTGAGGATCACTGAACATGAGAGCAAAACAATAATAGTTTTAATGCTCAAGATTAATACATGTTGCATTAAGGGCTGTATATTTTTTCTGACTATTGCTGAACCTATCCCAAAACAGAATCTCAGATTATCCCTTCTGAGGTCTTCTAGGGCTTTGAGTCCTAGGATTTCCTTTCCTAGAACACCAAAGTAACTTCCTTAAATCTGCTTCAGTATCATGATGTTGTAATACATGGATTGGGCTGAAGATAGTTACAACAGAAAGTTCCCATAAAGTCTAAACTCATTTCTTTTGTCTGAAAAGTGTGTGCACGTGCGTGAGCGTGCACACACACGCACACATACACATACACTATGAAGAAAACTTAGGGAAAATTAAGATGATACCTGTAGAAAGACCATTTCAGTAGAAACTGCCTGGCGGCTTTAGGAAAGCTGGGTCTTCCTTCATAGGGTTTCAGGGCTTGCATCATTACATTGTCAAGCCATGCAGCCCACTGCTCCAGTGTGCTCTGCTGCTGAAGAGTCATCTTGAAGTCTGTTTCTAGTCTCTGAACCATGTTGTCATCACACTGGCACACCCAGGAAGCCTGCTCCTGGGACAGTTCACAGAGAGCAAAGGAAAATTTCAACTCAGCATCTTTTCATTGACTGTCAGTACACAGAGCAGACACAAGTGGGAAATTACAATAATAGCTTCAAAGAGTTAAATAGGTGAAGGAAATTAACTTGTAGATTAAAAAAAAAACTTTTATCAGCATGAATGGATTAATACTGCTCTTGCTCATTATGGTATGGGAAAAAGTTATGTGACTTAAAAGTTTTATTTGAAAAAAAAAATAAAAGTACAACTTGGTATTTCCACATTAGTTGTGTGTAAGAGATTAGAATACATGACTACTTAAGAAAAGTAGAATTATGAACCTATAGTATCCAAGTTGTTTCATCTTATGCTTTTAATACTGCCTTCAAAATTTCTCATTCCCCATCAGATAAAACTTTAAAAATGATTCATATAAGAGGATTTAAAATAAATCAGATGGATACATAGATTCAACTGTCCAAAAGTGGTCCCTTATGATTAAAATAAAAGCGAACACTGAATGGTACTAGGTAGAAGCATATGCTGTGGGAATTTGGAGATTGGGAACAGAAATCTCAAGGGTTATCAAAGCAAAACTATGAATGCAAATTAGTCCACAGAACTGAAAACAACAACTCCTCTTTTGTGAAAATGTTGACATGCTACCTGCCAAAATAATTTGGATATTGCAATTTTCCTTCTTATTCTGGTCAGGAAGTTTCATGTTTGGCCATAGTAAGGAAAATAAGAACTTTTACAATTACTTTTCAGTACTTGCTTTAAGTTCTATGATGTTTCTAGTGCTATGTTTTATTTAAAAATTTTTAAAAAGAACTATTCTCCCAAGGCTAAAATATAATTATTTGGTAAAATAATATTTATTTAACTGATTGAAAAAAAAAAGATTTTAATATCTCAGTTCTGAATCAACTAAACTGACCTCAAGCAATTAATTTAAATCTTTGTGGGCTTGTTTTTCTAAACATAAAATTAGAAAAACAAATTTAACAAGTATTTTGAAAGTGGGTTTATTATGCCCAGATAACTTTTCCAAGATGAGTTTCTTGAACAGGTGTCTGAAGGTCCTAATTCTAAACATAAGACACTACAAATATGTAATATTTTAAAATTAATTAATTTATTTAATCTAACAATATATGACAGCAGAATGCATTTCAATTCACATTACACATACAGAACACAATTTTTCATGTCTCTGGTTATACACAAAGTAGAGTCACACCATTCATTTCTTCATACATGTACTTAGAGTAATGATGTCCATCTCATTCCACCATCTTTCCTACCCCCAAGTTCCCTCCTTCCTCCTCCCTCCCCTTTGCCCTATCCAAACTTCATCCATTTCTCCCATGCTCCTCCTGCCTCCCCTTTATGGATCAGCACTTCACATCAGAGAAAACATTCAGAATTTGTTTTTTGGGATTGGCTTACTTCACTTAGCATAATATTCTCCAACTCCATCCACTTACTTGCAAATGCCATGATTTTATTCTCTTTTAATGCTGAGTAATATTCCATTAAATATGTATTTTTCTAAAAACAGTGTCGATAGCTTTTATTCTATGTTCTTGGAGAACAAATTCATTCAATTTGACAATTTCAACAGAATAAAACTCTAATCTCATTCTTTTAGTTCTAGCATCTCATCTGATCTTATAGACTTTACTTATTCAAGGGTCATTTCAACCTAGAGACATTTCAAATGCAGATTTCCCCAAATTCAATTCATTTTATTTTTCCACGGAAACCTACTACAGAGTTTTCCATGTCTTGACTGATAATATCATGTACTATCATTCTTTCTTTTCTCTAATTAATCATCAGTTCTTCTGAATGTTACCTCCTAAATATTACTTTTAAATATTGTGAATACACTATAATACTATTATAGAAAAATTGAAAATATAAATAAGGAAAAAGGTGCAAAATATTAAGAATACCTAAAAAGACAAAAGATAGCTATATGTTGATGTATAAACATTTCAAGCTTTAATTGCATATAAATATGTGTCTATGAATATTTCATAATATGTGCATATGCTATATTATGTACACATGTATTTATATTTTATATTTGTAATATACTTATTCTAAATACTTACACATATTTATGTATATTTTATATTATTTATGCATATGCATATGCAAATAACTAAAATAAAAGAGGATTATAAGATATCCTATTTAATGATATGTAACTGTCATTCCATGTAGGCAAATATACAGCTATACTTACTGTTGAGTGAATGAATTTTTATATAACCAATCCTGTATACATAGACATTTGTTTGCTCCAAAATTTTACTATTAAATGTAAAGCTGGAATTAGCAATCTTGTAACTATATTTTTACTTACTTTTTCACTTATTTCTGTATGACAAATCTACATAAGAATAGGCTGATATATTAATATACAGTATAAAATGATTTCCAGAAATTTTATATCAATTTAAGAGTCCATAAGATTACCAATGAAATAATTAAATGCATCGAGAAAAGTTATAGGGAAAGGTTATGTATGGTTTTTCATGAATGTCTAAGCATTTTTTCATTGTGATAAAAACACATAACATTTACCATCTTAATCATTTCTCAGTGTACAGCATAGTAGTATTAATATATGTACTTTGTTGTGCAAGAGATCTCTAGAACATTTACATCTTGCAAACTGAAATGCTTACCCTGTAGGGGAGGTTCTTTTTTGACTTGTGCATTGATAAAGGAGAGTAAAGAACTTACTGGTACCATGGAAAAATATCATTTCAAACTCACTATATATGTGGAAATTAGTTTTTGCCAAGAGACGATGATAACCTAATACCTAATTTAGAGAATAAAACCACAGTACAATCATCTGGCTTTTCAAACTATTTTTATACTATGCTTCATTTTACTACCCCCTAGACTGAATACATGCTAACAATGGATGACACTGTAAATATTTTTTTGTGAAAGAAATTTAGACATTTCCATTTTATAGTTGAAAAAGCTAAGGATGAACACTTAAAGATATTCTTAACTTACATAAAAATTATATCCCAAAAGATAAGTAGTCAGGAACTTCAAAATCAGAATGCTTTTTAAATATAGAAATGCAAGTATATGCAATAGTTAGGTTATCAGTTCACAACATCCAATTCATTTAACACATAATATAGATGAAAAACTAACAATTTATGCTCAAAAAACCAGAGAACTATACCTCTGTAATACTATCAATTAAGGGAGAAAGAAAACCAATTATACTGCAATAGAAAAATTATCTTGAATGCATGAGGAAAGATGATTTAATTAGAGGAGAATGAAGTAGAGAAAGAGATTTATGGGTATCCAATCCTGAAAGAAACTTTCAAGCTCTTAGTATGTTATAATACTGACTCCTACATTTCAAATTAAAGTCTCCTTATTCCAAGAGCATTACCCTTACATTTGTCAATCTTACTAAGGTTAATCTTAGAATATACAGGAACATATCTCAAATGAATAGGGGATAGTGATAATGATGGAATGGGAAGCAGGGACCCTGGGGAAATCTGGAAAAGCTCAGAACAGAAAAGGAAAAAAGCAGGAGAGTTAAAGACAAAATATGCTTCCTGGAGCAAGAGACCACTCATTAAAATGAAGAGAGCTGAGACAAGTAAAATGTAGGGTGAAATGAAGAGCTCACCATTATATTCACAGTCCTCTGAAGAAAAGAAAATGTTTTGGAGATTAGGGGCTTAATAGATAGGTTTCAGCATGGATGACTGACATAGTGGACTCAAATAAACTTGATAATTTACATCAGAGGAAGAAAAAGGTTAGGGTAGCCTCCAAGTTGCTGGGTGGATGATAAGTAGTAGAGCAGACATATCATTGAGCATTTATATGCAAAGGTGTTCTCAAGATTGGTATATATAACCAGGAAAGAACTCCTTTGTATCAATACTTCATAAGACTGTAGACATGTACAATTACATATGTGAAAAAGATGCTAATAAAACATTTAGCAACATTTTCAGATATTATTAGAAACTATTATTAGAAATATTTTTCTGTTATGGAGCTTAAATTACTTTCTGAAATTAGAAATTGTCTTGCTACTTTAACTTTTCTTAAGGTACTTTTAAACATATTTGAAATAAACATCAGAATACAGATTTTAAGGCAATTTCTGGTACTCATTCTCAGTAAATCATTTAATGTAAATCCACTGAAATGTGTAAATAATAGATTTGTAAACCCAAGATGGTTTGTTCTTATAATGGTTATGTGTTTGCATGTGTATATGGATATGTGTATATTTGCATATAGAGATCAATCGACAGATTGAAAAAAAGTTATATACACCAAAAATTTGAACCCAATCCATGAAAGTCACAATGAACATAACTAATTTATTGTACCCTAAAAATGGACCAAGCCCAAACAGTACTCTTAACATATTTTAGGTGATAAAACTAGGCCATATGTAGAGATGTAGTCATTAATATTTTTTTGTTAAACACAGTATTTTCAACAGCTTTGTTGAGAAATAATTCACATAACATACAATTTACCCATTTAAATAATACAGTTATGAGTCTTTTTTTAGTATATTCATAGTTTTGCATCCCACTCCACTATCAATTTTAAAACCTTCTCATTTCACCCAGAGGAAATCCCACTTCCCTTGTATCTGTTGCCTCCCAATCTCCTTAAGCCCCCAGCCCTAAACAATTACCAATCTACTTTCTGTCTCTATAATATACCTATTCAGAGACTTTTATAGAAATGGAATCAAGCAGGTAGTCCTTTGTACTCAGCTTCTGTTTTTCAGGTTAGTTTATGTTGTGGTAGAAAACGGCTTCTTTTCTTTTTATGTCCCAATAATATTCCATTATGTAGACATACAACATTTGCTTATCGTTTTCATCAGTTGATGGACGTGTGAACTATATGGCTCATATGAATAATGATGTTATGAACACCTAAGTACAGGCTGACTATTTCTAATTTGAAAGTCTAAAATCTGAAATGTTCTAATATCTGAAAAGTATTAAGTATTCCATGCTTAGAAAGTTTCAGACTTTGGGGCATTTCAGATTTCAGATTATTGGATTAGGAACACTCAAGTGGTAAAGTCTATTCAAATATTTCAAAATTCTGAAAAACTCTCAAATCTGAAATAGTTCTTGTTCCAAGCATTTTGGATAAGGCATACTCAATTTGTATAATTTTTCATATGGATATGTTTTCATTTCTCTTGGTATATCCCAAGTGGTAGAATTGCTAAGTCACACAATTACTCTGTTTATCTTTCTGAGGAAATGCCCAAAATTCCAAAGTGGATGCAGCTTTTTGCATTTCTATCAGCAATGTATGAGATCCCACTAATTTTTCCACATCCTTACCAAAACTGATTAAGGATTTTTCCTATATTCATTCTAGTGTGTGTGAAGTGGTACATCCTTATGTTTTTTGACTTGCATTTCCCTGGTGGCTAATGATGTAAAGCATCTTTTCCTATGATTAGAGGACATTTGTATATTTTCTTTAAAGAAATGTCTACTTGAATTTTTGCCATTTTTTAATCAGGTTGAATTTCTATTATTGGGTTGTAATAGTTCTTCAATATTCTACACAAATCCTTTATCAATCCTTTATTTTGTATATGCTACACAAATCCTATATGATTTGCAAAATTTATCTGACATTCTATGGGTTGTCATTATACTTTCTTGGTGGTATTTTTTGAACTATTTAAATTGATTATATTCAGTTATGAAATTTTTTCCTTTGTTGCTTATGCTTTAGATCAATAACGGTATTATTTTTTATTGGTATTTTTTAGTTGTACATATTCATGAGATTTTTTGTTACATATTTGTATATGCATACAATATAACAATATAATTTGATCAATGTCAACAATGGTAGTATCTTTATATGGTAACAATTAGCTTTATTATTTTTTATCAGAAATAAAATATCTGTTAGAACTCTATAATAATATTCCTAAACTATCGGTTTTTAAGGTTTGATCATAAGGTTAAAATATTTTTCATTTAAACTATCAAAGAAGCCCTATTTATTGTATGTTATTCTTTTCAAGTGAAGAATACTTCCTAGGCATCTTTAGTAAAGTTTGAAATAGAATTGTTTTTAGTTTCTTTCAAGGTGCATTACTGTAATAACAAATATCCTTGTGCTTGACATGGTGCAAATTACTAAATAAGTAAAAAACAATCTAACGTAAATGTTAAGGTGGGAAAACAAAGCCCCGAGTAGTTAAATAACATTCCCAATATCCCAGAGATAATAAATGGAAGATGTTAATTTCTTGTCTAATTTCAGTGACCATGACCTTCATTATCCTTTAACTATTCAGCAAACCCTGGTGATACATTATGCTGCCTTCTAGGACTATTTATCTTAGCAGACTACACCCACAAAACACAGGTGCAATAAAATCAAATAAGGGCAAAACTCCCCTCTTTCAGGACACTATGAATGTATAGCTGCTCCTTGTGTATACTTGAGGCTTTAAAAAAAATTGATGTTCCTAATTTAGAAGAACAAATTGGGTATCTTTCTTTTAAACACATGTCATGTAAGAAAATGGAGTACCTGGACATTGGCAAAGTCGACACGGTTGAGGTCATTGAGCATCTGGTTGATTTGAGAAGTGTTCTGAAGTACTGCACGAGCTGCCTGGGCCAGGTGATTGAGTGATGTGTATCTTCGCAGAGTCTGGGCAAAGGCACTTACAGCGGCAACCTGTAAAGAAACCCCAGTCAGTTGAGAATATTTTTTTCCTTCAGTAAAAGAAGAAACCACTGCAATCGTCAAATCTTTTTTCCCTTGCCAAAATTAAATGTTTCCCTTTGACACTTAGTTCCCATTCATTTGGTGAGAGAGTTTACTTGTAAATTATAGCATTTAAATCTCTTAAACCAAGAATTATTTTCCTTTTGAGAATGTTGAGGTCAAGACTAAAACAAACTCCCACACTCTTCCATAGCATTAATTAAACCAATCTTGCAAGTAACTTACTCATCCACAGCAAGAAATGATTTTGTCTATGGAAGTAGAAAAAAAGTTGGTTTTCATTTCTTTTTTCACATTTTTTTTTTTGGACAGCCAATTAAAAATAGGCAGGTAAAAACATATATATATTTTTTTAATTTGGAAAACTCAACCAGAGAGTCCAATTTTTAAAATTGGATTAAAAAATACTTTTCAGAATTCTAACAATCAGATTCACTCTTATGGCCTTTATTATAACAACTTGGATGCTTTTAAGGCAAAATAAGGGAACTCATAATTTTTTATTAGTTAAGAAATTCATCAAAGACAAGCAAAAACAACTCTTTCAGAATTTGAATTTCTTTAAAAGGGTTATCCAGGAAATTTCCATTTGCCCCTCAAAATTTGTTTTCCATTCCTCTCCATCCTGCTCTGTGCCCAGAGAAGCAGACCTACATGGACTAAATTAACCTTGTCCTTTGCCCTCTAGCTTCCAGTTGGAAGCACTGTTAGGAGACTGGATGATTGAAGAGTGGTCAGAGTATTTATTCCCACAATCTTTGCTTTCTTCCTGCTTGGACAAAACCTGCTTTCCTTTTCTAAGGCTACTATGGTCCTGTGGGAAGGAGGGGATTTTCTAATGCCATGGCTCTCACTTCTTACTCTCTCAGACCTTAGTAATACTTTCCACGACTGCTATCTTGGAATGCTTAACCATTCCTCCTTAGTTTTCTCAACTTCTCTCATATGTTTGAAAATAAACTTCTAAATTCTCAATAATTCCCCACTTTAGATAGATATACCATTGTTCTTGCTGAAACTTGAATAAATCAGTTTATTTTGAAAGACATCAAAGATAATGCAGAAAAAAAAAAAGAAAGAAAAAGCAGTCTGGATAACTAATTCTCATGATTTCATGGAGATTTGTTGCACATACAGTAGATCTAATGATTACCTTTAAAATATGTTAAAAACTAAAATATACAGGAAGATATGGTATTTCATTGTTTATGGACATATAAGGAACAAGCTATAAAGTCAATTGGCTGAGTGACATGATGTTCACAGGACAAAGAATGCTCTATCTTGATTGTGAGATATTTTAGGACTGTAAGAAACTTGCAGTGGTACCCAAATATACTCAAAGAAGAGTCGTCTTCTTTTTTTATGTTTTTGTATTTTATATTGAGTACATTTTATATGTCAGGCACTGGGTTAAAGTGACTCATATATATTACCTTGTTCAACTGTTATAACTATCTTATTAGACACACATTATGATTTAAAGAGGGTAAGTAGCTCACTCAAGGTTGCACAGAAATTCCATAAACTCCAATAAACCCAGGCATTTTGATCCCCACTGACAGAGTCATTGGAAAGCTGCTTCTTCAGGGTAAATTATCTTCACTGATAGAACAGAGCACAGCTAAAAAAAGACTGCCTATCAGTGACAGTGGAAGGACAGAGGGTACCTTTCACCATGGAAAATCATCTAAATCAACCTTGGAGGTTAATGAGATGGACAGTGTTGCAGCAAGATTGCTACTACATTCATTCTGATGACACTGGGGGATGAAGTACTTTCACCTTTTGAGGTACTGTTATATATATGACTTATTATGCAAGTTGGAAAGAATTCTTCTGTCATAATCAAATAGCACCTTTCATTTCCATGTGGCTTGAAGAGAATTTTCTGCCATGATGGAAATGCTCCAGATATGGTAGCCACTAGCCACATGGGGTTATTGAGCACCTGAAATACAGTTAGTGTGACTATCAAACTAAGTTTTTAATTTCACTTAACTTTAATTTAAAATTCAAATGTAAACAAATAAATGTAACTAACTTTACTGTATGATCAGCATAGCTGTAGAGCAATAAATGAAATATTAGTGGACACATAAATAAAATGTTGCCTTCTAGATGGAAAGCTTTTTTATTTTTTATTTTTGACAATGGAGATTGAATTCAGGGGTGTTTTCCCACTGAGTCACATCTCCAGCCTTTTGTAAATGTATTTTCTCTAGAGACAGGTCTCCATAGTTGCTCAGGGCCTCGCTAAATCATTAAGGCTGGCTTTGAAGTTGTAATCCTCCTGCCTCAGCCTCCCAAGCTGCTGGGATTATAGGTGTGTGCTACCAGGCCTGAGAGAGATAGAAAGCTTTATTGAAAACCTTAAACCAAAGTAGAAAGAACTAGAAACTACCTCTGTTCCCCAAAAGACGTGTCTGTTATACGAACTTCAGCCTATCAACTTTGTCTCTAAACTGAAAGACTAGATATATTATTGAAATCTGATAATGAATATAATAATGGACTAAAAGCTGCAAATGGGATTTATGGTATCTAAAATAAAGTACAGAATCAGTCCAGTCTTTATATGGTGATATATTTACAGGTTAACCTAAACTAATAGGACCAGTAGAAGATTACCTGGAGATGAAAATTCATAATGCAAGCAGTGTGAAATATCTCTAGTAAAATATCTTTAGACTAGAATATTCATATCTTAAGCTATGTTTAATATTATATATTCCTGATATATACCAAATGAATTATAACTCTTCACTTAAAGAGAACTTTCTCTAAAGACAAAAGAAAAAGCAGATACAAAGTGTACCTTGGTTTGTATCATTCTCTGTGGAATATTGTTCATGGCATTGGAAAGCCAACCTTCAAGGCTTTTTGCAAAATTTCGAATGGCTTGGGTCAAGGCACCTAAATGAAAATAAAGGCAAAATGAAAAAGATACCGAAGACTGTTAGTCTTTATGCTGGAATAAGGGAAAACACAAGTATATAATATCTAATATAACATAAAATAGAATTTATATTGTCCTCATTGAGGAAATTTTAACCTTATTGTGAAATTCTCACAGTATCCAAGAATTATATTTTGGGCTATTTAATTTCTTTTAAGCTATTTTGTTCCCAATACTTAAGATACTTTTTTGGGAAATGAAAGCATTCAAACGTTTTTGCTTACAGCAACATATACCAGTTGTGAATATATTTATGGTATTTTCTCTCTTAGATAAAACACTTTTTTCATTACTAGTTTTGTACTCAAAGGCTATTTTCTTTATAAATTCTTCATTTTAATTATTTTTGAGTTCTTAATCTATTTTCATTTCTTTAGTTAAAAAGAAACAAAGTGCACACCTTTTTCTTTTTCTCTTTTTTTCTATACATCTATTTACACTAGAATCTATGAATAATAGTATTTATCTTTCACTTGTTGAAAAGTAAGGTAAAAATTAAAATTGACTCAAAATTTTTGGATAACTATTTTCTACTTCATTTGGTAAGTAGACCTCAGTGTGATAAAACTGTCACCTAAACCAATAAGTTCATTCAATATTTTTCAAATATTTGTTAAAACCTGAAATTGGGATAGGTCTAAGTGACAGAAACTTTTATGGTGGTAATAAAATGATCAGAAGCTTCTTCATTCATCACTGATAACTGACTATTTTATAAAAAGGAATGTGCTTACTGAAATTGCTCAACAAGTCATTCAGCCAGTAGTACTTTTACCTCCTCTGTGCCCTTAGCTCCACACTATGGGGAGCAGTTTTAGATATTTAATGAATAAATGCTTCAAGAACTCAGAACATAAAATTAATTTCTGCATGTTTCCTACTATATGGTAGATATAAAAATATTATAGTCTACTATTAGAAATTAAGAAGTTACATTTTTGGCCAACTGCTCCCAAGAATATAACATCAATGATAGGATTAAATTATTTGATTTTTCTTTCTGTGCTCTATTACCTTTGTAAAAATAGATTTTAAAAATATTTTGACTCACTTAAATTATTTGCAAAGGATATAAAGTTTTCTATTCCAATAAAAAAAAACAACTAAGTATTTTAAAAAGATCTATTTAATGGTCAAATGACAGAAGAGACTGAAATGACCTAAATT